TTTTTTTTTTTTTTTATGACCTTCCGATTTTTATGGCTATTTCAATGTAAAAAATGTTAAAAATAGCCAGAACGTTAAAAAACACACAAATTATTCAATATTAACTCAATCGACTTAAAATTTTAGGATTGACCTGATTATAACTTAAAGTTAACATTAAAAAAAAAAAAATTTATGTGAAATTTCAAACTTAAATGACTTTCTAAAAATGGTGCTTTTTTTGAGAAAATTGGCGTTTTTGAGCTCACCTAAAACCATTAAGAAGTTATTATTTTATAGTGATTTTCAAATGTGGTTTTATATAGTATATAATCTATGTTCTAACTAAATTTCAAATATTTAAAACAATTTTCTTGGGATTTAGAGGCTTACAAAGTTAGAAATTTTATAAAAAGACATGTATTCTAGGTGCATTATCTCTGTTGGGGGACCTAATTTCAAAAAATTTTTTTTTAAATTTTTTAGTTATATATCTGCTTAATACACCATAAAAATTTGAAGTTTGAGAAAAAAGTTTAACATGTAAAATTTAGCATTAGAAAATCAGTAAAAATCCGTTCAAAATCATGTAATTTAATGATAGTTTTTTGTTGTTTTCAAACCATATTTTGTAATTTTTTTATATATTACTGTATATGTAATATATTACAATATAATGTAACTATTATATATTATAATTATTACATATAAACTTTTCTGTGAGAATTGTGTATAGGTTTTATAGGTTGTATTGTGGATATTTTAAATTTTAAATCTAATGTTTTGGCGTTGTTTGTCTTTATTGTCTTTATCTAAATAAATATCAATTTTCTCAAAAAAAGCACCATTTTTAGAAAGTCATTTAAGTTTGAAATTTCACATAAATTTTTTTTTTTAATGTGAAATATAAGTTATAATAAGATCAATCCTAATATTTTAAGTCGATTGAGTTAATATTGAATAATCTGTGTGTTTTTTAACGTTCTGGCTATTTTTAACATTTTTTACATTAAAATAGCCATAAAAATCGGAAGATCATAAAAAAAAAATTGTTTTAATCTAATTATAGCATAAATAATAAACCCTGAAAATTTAAGAAAAATATGAGGTGGCNTAGCATAAATAATAAACCCTGAAAATTTAAGAAAAATATGAGGTGGCCGTGCAACCACTTCTGGATGATTTGGCATGGATTGACCCTTACTAATAAAATAATTGTAAATTATCTTTAAAAAAATTACAATTTCATAGTTTAATTTATATGTAATAAGAAAATTTTTTGGTCCAAAAACAGAAGGTTGAGATAAAGATATAAATTTGTTATAATCACTGATAATAATAATATTCCTAAACTTTTCTGTATCTTATAAAGTTTAAATAAATAAATTTTATAATAATTATAACTATAATAATTATTATATATAATGCAATACGCTAATTTAAAATTAACGTAGTTATATTTATCAACGCTTTATGTAGTTTTAATGACATAACCACTAGATTTTTTAATTTTCTTTATTATATAAAATTACAAGAGGAAGATTTCAAAAATAACTAACCAGCAGAAAAATTAATTTGACTTTTGTTTATCTCAGCACTAAATTTTATTTGTTAAACATCAATTGTTTAATATTTAAAAAAAATATTTAACTAATATTACTATATTTTAGAATTTATGATTCCAAATCGATCTAAAAAAATGTTGTCATTGTTATAATTTATAGTTTTAATATTTGGGTATTTAACTTATAAATTAGATTAATTTACGCAAATATAAACTTAACTCGAAAGCCAGTACTATATTAACTATGAAATAGGTTACTACCTTAACTTTTATTGAAGTATTCCATTTTTAATCAAAATTACAATAACAAAAATCTGTAATATTCATTGTATAGCCACATCTACTGAGTTAGGGGCTTGTATGCGTATTAGGGTGGCCCTCAAAAATCGAATGTCTTTTTTTTTTTTACGCTACCCCTTAATTTTTTTTTAATGGTCAAAAAAATGAGCTGTGCAAAATTTGGGACCGATCCGTTAAGGTTAACCCGTGCCCCCGGGCCTATTAAGTTGAGTCGAAGAGTCAAATTTAATAGAAATAACTGATCTATGTCTCATAACTTTTTTTTCTCTTAACTTAGAATAATAAAAGTAAAACTCAAGTAAAGGAAATTTTACAAGAAATTCAAAAATAATAACTTCAATGTTGTTTTCTCAATAAATAGCCCACAAAAACACTACATACAGTAAAAAACATGTAAAAGTCTTAAAATACGTTATAACTGATTTTGTTGATTTTTAATTATTTATTTTCATTTTATTTTTTAGAAAACGCATATTCGTTTAAAAAAAGATTCTAGAAGTTTAATTTTTTATGCCAAGTACGATAATTATATTAGATTTATTATTTTATGGACAGTTAATTAATGATTAATTACAAATTTAACAAAATTGATTGTATTATTACATTTTGTCGTATCAATATATCAATTTTGGTTTACTGAATTACTTTAAGATAGTACCAATTATATTATTATTAAAGATAAGAATATTTGAGTTATTTTCGACAACTGACATAATTTGTGTCGTATAAATGCAGCAGACAATTTGTGAACACGTTAAATATATTTTACCTGTTTATTATTATATATTAAATGATACGTTTTAATCACAAATGTACAATACTTTTAGCGTCTTTTAAAGTATTACGAACTAATATTTATCTTATTGGTAATTATTCCCACGAAATAACTGGTAGTAAGTTACCATCAAATTTACAACTATTTAATCTGAACACTGATTTTTTGAAAATTGATCCATCATTTTGGAGTGCGAACAACAGTTACATAAATGCTTTAAATACTATAAGTAAATTACGAGTCATTAATGATACAGCCTAGCGTGGCATTAAATTAATCTAAGACTACATTAATATATTAACTACAAATGAAGAACAGAAACAATACGTTTTACAAATAGTAAGTAATTATCGGAAAAAATTTCCTAATTGTAAAAAAAGTACATTATCAAAAAATATATTATAATAATATAATTTAATTATTGTTAAAATATTTTTTTTAAAGTTATTATTATTTAAAAAAAAATAAATTAAAAATTGTTAATAACAATTAAATTAAACTGTTAGGTTTGTAATTAATCATTAATTAACTGTCCATAAAATAATAAATCTAATATAATTATCGTACTTGGCATAAAAAATTAAACTTCTAGAATCTTTTTTTAAATGAATATGCGTTTTCCAAAAAATAAAATGAAAATAAATAATTAAAAATCAACAAAATCAGTTATAACGTATTTTAAGACTTTTACATGTTTTTTACTGTATGTAGTGTTTTTGTGGGCTATTTATTGAGAAAACAACATTGAAGTTATTATTTTTGAATTTCCTGTAAAATTTCCTTTACTTGAGTTTTACTTTTATTATTCTAAGTTAAGAGCAAAAAAAGTTATGAGACATAGATCAGTTATTTCTATTAAATTTGACTCTATAACTCAACTTAATAGGCCCGGGGGCACGGGTTAACCTTAACGGATTGGTCCCAAATTTTGCACAGCTCATTTTTTTGACCATTAAAAAAAAATTAAGGGGTAGCGTAAAAAAAAAAAAGACATTCGATTTTTAAGGGCCACCCTAATGCGTATAGTACCCTCTTTCCCACTCTATATTAAAAAAATAACAGCCCCCTCCTAATATATATATAATTTCAAGGATTGCACACATTATACACTTAGTTTTTGCGGCACTAATACCTAGACAAAAAAATTATTTAATTAAGAGAATCCAAAAAAAAAAAAATTTCTATAGAATATGTTTCTATTTTTATTTTAAAATTCAAATAGAAAAGAAACATTGTTATCAATATGTTTTCGTTTCATATAGCTATTTAACTAATAACTTTGATAAACTTTCAGCAATAGCTTGCGTTGATTGATCATCACAACTGTAGTAGTTCATGTTTAATTCATAAGAATTGACCTAAATTTTTACCATATTAAAATAGGGTTCACTGTGTTGTGAATTTTGCGAAGATAACGACGTGTATTTACCAAAAACTAATTATTATTGGAATTAATTAAATATACGAAATGGTTATGTTACTAAGTAAGTAATATTAAATAATATCAATTGAAGTATTTGGTCCGATAAAAAGATATAAACGAATTTCATAGGTTCAAGCTGTTAGTGTTCATTATTTTTAGTTCTAATTTTTTATGAGTTTTTGTTTTTAACTGAATTAAATTTCTTAAAAAAAAATAAAGTATATATATATATATAATAGTATTATATGAGTTATCGTGAATTGTTTTTAGATTTGAAGACTTAACAAAAACTTTAATATATACTATAATTTAAAAAGATTTTTTTTTTATTAAAAGATTAATGTCATTATCGCTTGACTATAAATTTGATAATTTAGTGGAAAAAAAAAATTCACTGATTTATTAATTTAGAGTAAAATTTGTTATGTATATTTTTGGATAGTAAAAACTCAATATTTAAGTTACTAGATTACATTAAAAAAGTGATAATTCATGAGATATAAAAAAAAAATTTAAATTGCTCAACTGAAAAAGACTAAAACGCACTTAAATCTTTTTTGCAATAAGTCTTCAGTATTTTATACATAGACTTCTATATATAAAATACATAATGAAATATTTTTAAAATGTATTAGATAATAGTGTACAAATAACGATTTTATATGAGTTCATTTAGTTTTTTCCGTTTCATGAAAAATTTGTTTTTGAAAAATACGGCAAAATTTTTGTTAGGTCTTTATTTCTTTATTGGTTCCATGATAATTAAATGAAATAATTGTACTGGTAATAGTATAATTTGTATTGAATATTGTATTATAACGCTATTACTGTAAGAGTATTAAAAAAATACGTGATATTATAAAAATAATTACCAAAAACTTTAAATATTGGCGAATCGTCACAATTAATTGACATAAATAATTTCTCTGTAGAACTCAATAATTTGTCTAGTTCAGAATGCACCAATTTAATTTTAATATCTTCTTCAATAAAATTTTCTTTTAATTTTGTTAATTCCATTCTAAGTGTATTCATATTTTCAGCTTGTTTTACTGCTCTCGCTTCATTAACCTTTTTTTGCTCTTCTACTCGAGATGTAAGAGTTTTGGTATCTTTTTGTAAATCATCTACCTAATGACAGAAAATATAATTTATTTTTAATGAAATAATAATTATTAACAATTAGAATTTATTATTATAATTATTCTTCATAGGAAATTGGATTTTATTTCTATTTCTCTTTTCATGTTTTATAAAATATGTTCTATATGCCTAAAACTAAAATTAAGGTTACAAATTAATTTAATAAATTACAAATATTAACTATATTAAATTGGACTACAGTTTATAGAAATAAAATATTACAAAAATATTAATAATCATATAATTGTTGAAAATTTTATTTCTTCTAAAGTTTTTCTATATTTTTTTATTCTAAATATTCTTTATAATAGTACTAATCTATATATTTAACCTATTTGTCTTTAGGACAAATAGGTTTCTCCTAAAATTTAAATTATTGACTATTTCCAATTTGGCGCTCCTAAAATAATATCACTGTGGACAGTTGCCCCTATCTGCCACTACTTAAATATAGGCCTGATCATAACAGACTAGTAATATTTTCATATTACATTTTATTTAATCGTGAAATAATGAATATAGAATAGTTTAGTCTTATATCTGAGAAGGAATATTAAACAGGAAGAGTTATTGTCTACCAAAAAAAACTTTTTAAATTTCGTTATTTAAAATAACCAAACTAATTTAGTTTTTGAACATTTAAAACATTTTGATTACTTCTAAACGTTGGATGCCCACGATTAGAAGTATTGCAAATTTCATAAATGACCTAATATTAATGACCTATTATTGAAGCCTGGCCTAATACTTTATAATTATTATAAAGTGTCTAAAATATTAGATTAGGATTCCGCCGTGACGTAGTTTCACCAATGATATAGTAATTAGAACCTTTATCTTTATTATAACACAACCTACTTCACTATTCAACTCATTAATATAAGTAAATAACGCAAAATTTTCCTCTTCTTGACGAATAAATAAATCAACAATTCGATCTACATTTTGCTCTCCTAAATAAAGTTGTAACCATCCTATTAAATCAGACCATTTCTCCGAATTATCTTTCTGGTAACTTTGCTCAGATTGTTTTTTTTCTTTTTCCTTTTCGTCGTAATCCATTAACATACGACGTTGACCTGTAATATAATTTTAGTAATTTAATTAACTAAATATTTAAGTTTCTATATGGTTTACAAAATGTTTGCTTAAATTAAAGCTAAAATTTACTAAAAAGTAGAAACAAAATTCTTAGGCGTGATTAACGTAATTTATAACTTTTTATTTTTAGTCATTATATTATTTCCTGAGGTACAATTATTTAAATTGAAATACCTCAAATTTATTTAATTATTTTACCTTTAACTAACAAAAAATCTTGTAGTTTCAAATCTCGATCGTATTGTCTTTGTAATTCTTTAACTTCCGACCTGTGTATGGCTATTTGTTGTTTATCTTCATTACTCATATCTTTCAATTTATTTTGTGCATCTTCCCTTTTTATTTAAAGCGTGTTAAAATATAATAATACAAACTTTTTTCTTATATTGTTCATATTACAATAGAATATTTTTAGGTAAATATTTATCTAAAATAGTCTATTGTAACGCCTAGTCCTGATATATAGAGTGTTCAAAAAGAAAACAGGTCAATTATTACAAACAATGAGAACAATAGAAATCCATTTCTTTACTTACTGAACACTATACAGAATGTTCAGTAAGTAAGGAAACAGGTAAATTGTTATAAACATGAGAACAATAGAAATCTGATTCCTTACTTACTGAACACTCTGTATATTAAGACTATCAGTACAATTAGTTGGACTATAGTTTAATCAACAAAAAGTAGGTTTCAAACATTTTTTTTGCATGAGATTATTCTTTCCCTTAAGGCTAATTCTGGTAAATATCACCAAATATGTGTTGATCTGTTTTACAATTGATCAAATTTCAAATATTTGAATTAATACTGATCATATAAAATACTATTATTTTCAGATTTACCTTTGTTCATAGGCTATTGTTGCTTGCTCAATTAATTCCATTATAATTCTTTTATTTTCGTCTAATTGAGTCACTAAACGTTTGTAAGTTTCATTGAATTGAGATCGCTGCACAAGTAAATGATCAATTTCTTTTCGAAGATGAGCATTTTCAGTCAAAACATTATTGAACTTAACGGTTTTCTGGACAAAAATCAGTATATAAGCTATATTGAAGAATATTTCAATTAAATTGATTAAGACAATAAATAAAAAAAATGATTTTTATTTAAATTTATTAATTTGTACTAGTAAAATTACGGGGAGGGTATGAATTTCACAACCCCAAAACATAAATAATTAAATGGCGAAGATTCAATATTTTCCCTTTTAGAGAGTATTCCTTATTTTTTTTATGTACATGCTCTCCCAGGATCAAATAATCATTATGCCAATGGCGCTTTGTTCAAGTAATCTTACTACGTGTATTTTATTTTCTAACAACTCTTCATGCTTATTAATATTTTTTCCAGTTTTTGTTTTCAATCGATTAGCTGAAGGTTCTCTTTGTTGTTTTAATTTATTATCAAGTTCGTTTTGAATTTTACATATTTCTTTATCGATTTCGTAATCATATTTTTTCTGTTCATTAAGTTCATCGTTTGCACATACAAAATCATTCCATTTATTAATTAAACATTCTTTTAAGTATGAAGTGTCCGATTTTTTTCGTTTGTTTGTGATTATATTTACTTCTTGTAATAGATTCATTTTTTCTTGTTCTAATGTAAATATCATCTTTCTAGATTAAAAATTGAATCATTAATTTAATTAAATTTATTATAACAAATTCAAATTTATTATTAGCCTTATTATACCTTTGTTTAGCTAGGTAAATGCCCATTTCCTCTGTATAGGCTTTTTTATTGCTCTCCATGAGCATAAATTGTCTTTGAAGTTTTTCCAACTCATCAGCCAAAATATCAATTCCATTATCCTCAAAATCATTATTTATAAGTCCGTCCATAAAAAAAAAATATTACCGACTGAATAATGTTAAATACTAACAATGATTTATCTTTTAATATTACTACTAAGTCGGATATTCGTTATTGATAAAACAATAACTTTTGGTAACTATGAAAATGTAATGTACTAAATTATTTGATGCGTGTTATAACAGAATTTTTTTATTTTGTGTGTGTCTAAACATATTTTAATTTATAAACTATGAAAATAATACTGCAGTTTAAATCAATTAATTAATGTTACTCCTATGTTGTTATTTGTATTGAAATTTAGTCATAAATGATGTTTAACAAAAGGTGCAAAATGCTTGATAAAACATGTTCCTTTCTAATTATTGTTATCAAAATACAAATGTTAATTTTTTATTTTTTAAAATCTGGATGAACATTTTACTGTACTTTTACATATATATGGTATTTATGTATCTGGTGTTATTTTTGTTATGCCTTCGATTTAATAATTATAATAGTTATGTAATATTAGTATTAGTTAATTAAAATATCTAGTATTGTTATAAAATTTTGCTAAGTTAATTATTACTAAGAAATTTTAATATATTCGTGAACGTATTTTTCTTTTTCAATTACAAACAGCATACTAAAACAGTATGAATTGAAATTGACCTTACGCCTTATCGTTTCAAACTAGTGACTAATATTTACATTTTATTTATTTGCGTCATATCATAATTGGTTCATTAAAATTATTGTTTTATTAATATTGTATTGAATACTGAAAATTTTCTCATAGAAGCATCTTGTGATTTATGTTTATATAAGTTAATACATTGCACTTTTTCTGTTTTTTTTGCGACCCGCAAAATAATATATGAATTAAAAGGTTATTTATTTACCTTTAGTTGTAATCAAGTTTAGGGTTTCGTTTTTACAATTTATAAGGTTATAAGCTTTAAAATATCAAGCGCAACAAGTCCCCTTGGTTAATGAATTAGCTTCACACAAAATAAAAAACCTAGCACAGTGGGGACGTAGCATAGTTCGGTTCAGTATAGATGATATCTGGCAGTTATTAAAATTACTATCATAAAAAACGCTTCGATACAAATCTGTAGATAATGTTTAATTAAAAAAAATTAATGGATTATTCCAAAAGCTACATGATTTCCTATTTGCTTATTTATATTTTGGTTATAAGTTTAATGATTTATAAGTGTAATATATGAATAAGTAAATAAATAAATATATATAGTACTTAAAAAAAAAATAATGATCAATACATTTTTCTAAAAGTTATAGCATTATAAAGTTAAAAATATAAAAAAGAATATTTTTACAAAAATCGCATTTTTTAAAATTAATTTTATGTTTGATTTCACCGTGAAGACAAAATAAAGACAGAATTTTTTTTTTAATACTAAAGTATATTAAATAATCCTTAAAATAATAATATATAAACGTGTTAGTTTCCGGAACACTTTCGAAAGTTATGTTGAAAAAGTTAATTTTTTGTGAAAAAGTTATTATTTTGAATCCCTCCTGTGGGCAGGTAAGGGGTTAATTTAAACCTGCCAAATAATCTATGCATGTATGTATTAAAAATTAATAAATAAATGAACATACTTTTTATTATTGCCTAATGTTTTATAATATATTTTATTAAAAAAAAGAAATTGTATTATTTGAAGAGTTGATATGATAACTATGTTTAGCTTCGATAAAATAATAGATTTTAGAACTGATATCGAGGGGAAGGAAGAGGACCACCACGGGTCTCTGATGTAAAAATGTCAAGGTTCTCTAAGGAAAAATTAAAAAACCCGTCTATGTTAGGTAGCAAATGGCACAATGATAATTTTGTAGTGTTAATAAATAACAATAATATTTATTATAAAAATTAATTCAATTAAACAAAAATAATAATACTAGTTTTTTTGCACAGGAATTAATAGTAAATCTTACCAAAGCTTATTCAACTTAGCTTGTATTATAGAGCAAAGAAAAACCATAGTATCCATGTCTTCATTATCTGAAACACATAAGATGTTACACCGGACATGCAGGGAATTTTCAGAAGCAGAATTAAAACCTATTGCTTCTAAAACTGACCAAGAAAAAATATTTCCCAAGAAACAAGTAATGTGTAATTAAAATTGTACTTTAAATCAAAATAATAATGTAAAAATATCATTAGATAAAAAAAATGGGAGAGTTAGGACTTATGGCAATTTGTATTCCACAAGATGTTGGTGGTACAGGTCTTGACTGTATGTCATATGCAATTGCTACAGAAGAAATTTCTAGGTATGACTGAAACAAATTATTTAGCGTTGAATTAATATTAAAATATAAATAAATCTTTTAATTTTAGATGTTGTGCATCATCTGGTACTATTATGGCTGTTCATAACATGTATCTTAACGTCATCAATTATTTTGGTAACGAAAAACAGAAGGAAGAGTTTATTAGGCCATTTGTGGATGGTGAAAATATTGGTTCATTCTCCATTAGTGAGCCAGGTATAAACTTCATAAAAAATAATTTTGAAAAATTTAATATGATATCTAAAGTAAACAGGTTCTGGGAGTGATGCGAGTGCAGTTAAGACAAAAGCTATTAAAAAGGATTCACTTTACTACATTAATGGAACAAAAGCTTGGTGTACAAATGGATATGAATCGAAAGCCGCTGTTGTTTTTGCATCAACGGATCCTTCAAAAAAACATAAGGGTATAAGTGCATTTTTAGTGAAAAAGAATTTTCCAGGTATAAAAAAGTACGATTGATTTAACAATTTCATAATATCACACAAATTATAAAATAAGCGTTCACACTAGATAGTAACTTATAGTATAATTATAATAATTAAATCTAATATATAATTAACTTATTGAACTTTCATATTTTATAAGTTTAAATATTTAATATACAAATGAGTATATAAAATTAAATTGCGTATTTGCATATAGTTGAAGTTTATAATATCCATTGTTGTATATCATAACAAAATTAATAGTTATTAATGACAAAAATCTATTCACTTTAGGTATGAAATTGTAATGAATTATAATTATTAGGTAATGGAGTGAAGATGATTATTCTAATAAATAATTAAGGTACTGTAAAAAAAATTTTTTACAATGTGCTATATTACTTTTTAGAAATATTTAAAATTTGTAACTACAATAAATATTTCGTACTATATAATTAGGATTATTATTATTGCTATTATTGTTCTCCAAATGTTTAGTGGGCATAGGCGCAACTAGAATAAAAATGTTTAGGGTGTTAAATTAATTTTTTCTGATCACTAAGTTTCCTATGCCACATATTTTTGTCTATGACATTACCTTTTAAAGAAATAAATTTTTTTTCTTAGCCTTAATTTTAATGATACGTATCAAAATTTTGAAATTTACTAATCAAACTCATCTAGAACATTATTTCCATATAGTTAATAGCCAGTTGTAGGTTTATAAGTTATAAAAATAAACAAAAATATCGAAATTAAAAAAAATGTGATTAATAACAAGAATTCAACATTTTTAAGATCAGATCTACCTATAAAAGGTGTAAAGAGTTAAACTTACCACTATTAATAAGTAAGAAAATCTTTCAGTTTGTCAAAAGTTATAACTATTAAAGTTAACCATTTGTGTATAACCGCATCACCTTCTTTGTATGATTTTCACACAACACTTATTTAACCATAATACAGTATGTATTGTAAACAAAGAAAATGAACATATTTAGGATGTGTCCACGATGCTTTGACAATTTACAATAAGAAAAGTATGCGGATATGTCAGAACAAAGTGTAATACTCTGCATATCGACACTTCAATTACCGGTGACTTCACCGTTAAAAGTTTTCGCAAATTTTTTCAGCGTTTAGGAAGTAATCATAAAAAAATACGTAATGTAAAAATAAATAAGAAATTCATAAGGTTGTATTTGTAAAATTAATTTATTCCCAGATTTATCAACTATTAATAAATTAATTCAATTTATAAAATTATTACATATTGTTTTGCTTAGTTAATAAAAATAGTTAAAGTTGTTCTAAGTTTGAATGAGATAATTTTCTATTATTTATTTTTTAGAGTTTAAAAATTTTAAATTTAAATTTAAAATAATAATATTTTATTTGAGGTCATTTTAATTTGCATTGAATAATTATTAGGATTTTCTGTGGGAAAAAAAGAAAATAAATCAGGTATACGTGGAACTTCGACTTGCAATTTAATATTTGAAAATTGCCCAGTACCAGAAGAAAATATTCTTGGAGAACTTGGAAAAGGATTTAATTATGCAATGAAAGTTTTAGGTATATTACTATAGTATAAAATAATTTATTTTTATTCAGTGGAGTAACTTGGTCAACATTTTAAAGGTCGCATTCGTTTCTCTGTTTAAGATCACACATTGATTTTAATGTTAGCTTTATATTTTATAAACATTAATATATTTTAAGATAATAAAAGAACTTGTTTATTTTTTTGAGATACCCAACTTAATTTTTCAATACATAAAAAATATATTTTGTGAAACGACTAAAATTTCTTTTGTAGATGGTGGCCGTATAGGGATTGCAGCTCAAGCATGTGGTATTGCTCAAGCTTCTCTAGAACTAGCAATTGATTATGCTAATAAAAGAACTGCATTCGGAACTCCGATTTCTAAAATGCAAACAATTCAGGTATTAATGCATTTTTTTATAAATTCCATAGTTTTATTACAAACAATTAGATATTATAAAAAATATGCCGTATTTAAAATTTAAATTTTCTAGAATAAAATTGCTGATATGGCTTTAAAATTAGAAAGTGCTAGACTGTTGACTTGGAGAGCCGCATCTTTGAAAGACATGAACAAACCACATACGAAAGTATGTTTTATTAATTATTATTATGAATTATAACAAAGCCAATTACACAAAGTACTAAAAAAAAAATTCTAAGCAGACATATATTAAGGGAAAAGACCATCAGATCTGAACCACCTCCTAAAATATTTCCAAAATTACATTATAGATATGAGTTAAAAAGAGCGGTGTATCATAGAAGAAAATCGTGTGAATTCATGAATTTCTGTGTTGTAACTACACACGTGGTATACAAATATTTTCTAAAAATATACCCGACAATATCTTAAACTATGAGAAATAATCAATATCTTAAACTATGAGAAATAATCAATAAGTTGCTATAATGATGACACTTTATTATAATTTCTAAATCGACGTACTCAAGCGTCCTTGAAAATGCATACTAAAGTTTAAACATTTCATAGAATTAATTTTTTTTATTATTATGTTGAATTTTTTTATTACAAAAATTAAATTGTCATATATATTTTTGTTCATATTATAATATATTTCATTGAAACTAATATTTTTTTAAGGCATAAATTGTACCTACTACAATTTATGCTTTACATATTAATTTAAGAGTAATTTTTTTAAAAATTAATTATTGAATTAAAATGTATAGGAAGCTGCAATGGCAAAATTAGCGGCTTCTGAAGTAGCAACGTTTAATGCTCATCAATGCATTCAAATATTAGGTGGTATGGGTTATGTGTCAGACATGCCAGCTGAACGATATTATAGAGATGCGAGAATAACAGAAATATACGAAGGGACGTCTGAAATCCAAAAAATTGTTATCGCGGCTAATATATTAAAAGAATACGAATAATAATTCGATCAAATGTAGACTAAATTATTTATAAATACTTATTACAAGTTATATGTATTATTATTTGTGCGAGAACAAATATGTTTATAGTATATATTTTGTATGTTTATTAAATGTGATCCATTTATTATAACCTACTTAATTCCTCACAAAATAATTTCAATGTTGAGAAAATTAAAATTTGTTTAGTTGGATGTTTCTCTTGATTTATCAAGTCATAAATTATTTTTAGGATCAATTTTTATAACTTATAGGGGTGTCAACATATTTTTTTAAATGGTAGTGAATTTTAATTTTTTTTGATTAAAAAAAAATACTATTTTAACGTAGTCTAAGAATGCATAAATTATTAAAAAAAACATTGACATATTAATTGTATTAAAAATTATAGGAGTTTTCATTTATATGTATTTCACCTTGTGTTTAAGTAGTGTATAAAATAGAAAATAATTGAATTAAGAATATTATTTTAAATATCTTTAGGACCCTTTCAACTTCATGATTAGAAAACCAGCTTCATATAATTTATTATATTTATATAAACGCTATTTCAAATGCATTTGCTGCCTATTTTCGCATTTCAGTGTTCAACTCAATGTATGGTTTCAACCAAGCACTTTGTTGAAACTCTAAAATGCGGTGCACCTGCAGAACAAATATTTATATTAGTATAATCGCTTATAGTTTATAGGATTATTAAACATAATTTATCGACTTGCAGTCCGTGGGCAACCGCCTGTTTAAGATTAACGTAGTGTAAGACGTATCGCTGTTTAGGTTTCAAAGTGGCCATGAGTTTGGTCTTTTTGGAATACGGTGGTCCATCGCTACCAGGCAAGAACGGCAAGGTCATTGTGCTCGTCATGCAGCTCATCTGGATACGATAAAATTTTAAGCTTACTTGAGACCTACTAGAAATATACCATACAATGACGTTAATTATGATATCCACGCTATCAATTTTTTACTTAAAATTTTGAAAGTAAAAAATTTGCATTCTACAGTAAAAAACTATTTTGATACTAATCATAAAATTTTACCAAAAATTGAATAACAGGGATCGTTTTTTGGGGTATTTTTGTTCAAAATACAAAAAACACGTTGAGCCAACAGTAAAATTTTTTTTAAAAATCTCAAATTTTCACAAAATGCCTATTTTAATGTATACAATAAAGTTAAAATAGTTCTCGTTAAAATTTAGGAGATCGACTTTTTTTTGATCCATCCTAATGATCACGTATATGTGATCGTATCATTAGTTTCATTATTTTAATGGAGGGATTATGTACCAAAAAATATATAGTATAAAATGGACGATCTGATTACTGTTTTTTGCCCACGCTAGTGAGTGTACTAGCTGCCCACCTTCTCTTTTCACTTTTGTGTTCGCACTAATTTTGAAATTAGTTTTTGTTATACCAATTAAATCTTGTTATTTTTCTTATAACCCGAAGTTCTTTATAAAAATCCATTTTATTCATTTGAATATTAACTAATCTGTAAACCATACTATAAAAAGTTGCCATGTTGTGTTGTTATCTGTGGATCGGATTGTTCGGAATGTCCCTTAAAATGAGAATGTTTTTCTGATAAATGTCAAAACTTTTGTCCTTTAAACTAATAAATCCAAAAAATTCAATTTTCACTCTACTTCTTGTTCGTATATAAATTTAATCGATAGGTAAACATAATTTAAATGTTGTATGAAGACATCCGTTGACACGACTTACGTTGCAATAATGAAGTCGACACAGTTTTTGAGGGTAAAGACCCGTGTCCCGTTTATTATTCAACAACAGGTTATTTAAAAACAAACAAACACAGTTAATAATAATTTTCGCATAATATCGCGGCACTTTCACTAGCGTCGGCGACGAGGTGTCCGGCAATATCTTCGGGCGTCAAAATGATAGCGGTGTTAATGGCGACGGTGTGCGGGTGCGGATGGGTTCGTCGAGCCGGTGGCGTACAACCTCGACGTTGTTACTTTAGCAACGGGAAGAAGACTCAACGTATCATTTGAGGCGGGTTGTCGTCGCCAGTGCGGCACTTGCTGTACTTTGAGACGTGGCGTATAGCACACGGTGTTGGTCAGTCAAATACTTATAGTAGGGCGACGGCTGATAAAGGTGGCACGAGTCGCGGGGTATCGTGTATCACGAAGCGACGCGGAACCGTGTCACAGCATTAAAAACTTTGTTTATTACTGCAAAAATATCATTAAAATACTTAATGCAAATTTTTGGAAAATCACCATAAGCGGGTTTTAGATTTTTTTCGATCCTATTAGACTGCAAGCGGGCTTTTATATTAGTAAATCGGCCTGTAAAAACAACGTGGTTTGCCACTTGCATAACGACTAGCTAGAGTAGCAAGGGTCGCCACCACCTAGGCGAGGTGTCATACCTATC